CATTCCATTACATAGAAATCACAATAGTAGACTATAGCCATATAAAATAAAATGGTGCCTTAATATACCATATAAAAGGAAAGTGATAAAACAGGTAAGGGTGACGGGTGCCTATGGTGGTGAACTCAAGGGACAGGTGGCACCTGAAGAGCTTGGGCAGCTGGAATGACTTTGGTAATGTTCTCAGTTTTAGGTTCAGCAAGAGCACTCTAAGATGCTGAGGTTCAGGGGGCCAGAGATATGGAGCTAAAGAATGGATGGATTCTTTCAACATCTGGCCTACCCTAAGGACCCAAAATCTAGAAGATGCATTTATGGAAGAATCTTATATGAGAGTTGGAGATGCAGACTGAGGAAATGTGGGGAGTAAGAAAGTACTGAGGTTTAATGTCCCTCTTTGAAAGGGCTGGAGTCCACAAGGCCTTTGAAACTTCGAAAAAATGAGATGAAGTCATGTCCTCTAACCTACCTGATCTGAGTCAAAAGACATTGTTGTCCAGAGTGAGTTGGGTCCAAGAAAGGCTGTAAAGTGGGAACTAGCTCTGAGCTAGGTGACTGTCCTGTTGGTGTATGGGAGGGCTGTCTGAGCAGGCCCTGAACACACACCTCCTTGAGTAAAAGAAGCACATTATGAGACAGTTTATGGGGCCAAGAAATTAAAGGACAATCTACTACTATTTGCTCCACTTATGTCTTTATCCAAACAGCTGCCAAAACCAAGGGTGAAGTGCTGTCCTGTACACAAGGCAGGGAAGCAAGGAGGCACAGGCACTCCCCAGCATTGATCCTCACCTCATCCAGCTTTGCCCTACTCCACTGGCACTTTAGGAAGAAATTAGGTACCTGCTGCCTCTAACCTAGGGCAAGTCACTATCCTTGCCTGTCTTAGAAGTTGGCGAGTTTAGTGGTTTTCTGCCCCTGCCCAGACATCTTTTAAAAGGAACAAAAATAAAGAATGCAGGGCTGGGAATATAGCTCAGTGGCATAAGTGCCTGCCTGGCAAGCATGAGGTCATGAGTTCAATTCTTTGTACCAAAAAATAAATAAACAAACCGAAACAAACAAAAAAAGAATGCAGTAAGACACAAATTCACCCTGTGTCACATGTATCATTAGTAACTCAGACACTGCAGTAGTATTCATTGGAAAAACTATTTGTTTTGATGGCCTTTGGGGTATGGCCCCATAACTAGGTAAGAAAGTAAAGTGGTCTAGCAGAGCTTAGGGAAGCACGTCTGCAGTTATCAACCTTCAGGATTCCCATCCTGCCTGTTCTGGTTGTACAACTCCAGCATCTGACAAACTTCATGGGGGGGTTTCACCCTCATTTGGAATGAGGGCATCCATTGCTTTTCTAGGTTATGGCACGGATAAAAAGAGACCATGCTCAGTACACTCAGTTTGCACTACACTCAGAACTTGCAGAATATCACACCCTACATGTGAAGCACCATCAGTATCATCTGCAGAAAGCCTAGGCAATATAGATTTTAAAATATTAGCATTCACAACGTAGCCAGAATCTAAAACTATTATTATTTTTAAAACTATTACAATTTGGGGTAGGTTAGGAAGAAATGACAAAGGAACTTAAGAAAGATAATCAAGGAGAAGAAAACTGGTTAATATTTCATTTTCTAATTTGTTTCCTAGATATCAGTGCGTTTTAGAAACAGGTGTCACAGGTAGTGAACTTTAAAAGGCACTTAAGCACACTTGGTCTTTTCTTTTTCTAGGTAACTATTTCCTTATTAACCTCTATGTCTTTCAAGAGATTCTAGCTTATATCATGAATAAAAATGAGCACATCCTTAGACTATTTGATTGAGAAACAATATTTATTCTACTACATCATATCAGGACTCTAAAATGTGATTTAACAAATTAAGTCAGAAAAAGTTATTTAATTCCAGTAAGAGTCCTGTGCACACTTTCAATTTTTTAATTGTGGTAAACACACACAATTTATATTATCCATGGATTCCAGCTCAGTAGTGTTGTCTGTTCACTTTCAGAACTCTGTACCTAGCGAAGGACCACTGATTCCTTTCTCTGGAATCCCAGAACCATTCTGCTTCTGTAATTTCACCACTCTAGGTACTTTGTGAGGTAATCATACAGTATTTGTCCTCCTGTGACTAGTTTCCTTCAGTCAGCATGTCTTCAACTTTCATCCATGTTTTATTTAGCACACATTAGAATTTCACCACTTTTTAAGGCTAAACATTCCATGGTATGTACACACCACTTTTGCTTATCACTCATCCATCCATGGGCACTTGAATTGCCTTTGGTCATTGTGAATAATGCTGGTATGAACATAGGAATACAAATCTCTCCTAGATCTTTTTAATTCTTTTATGTAAACACCCAGGAATTGAACTGCCATTAACACATAATTCTGAGGAACTTGCACATCATTTTCATAATGGTACATTTTATACTCTCACCAGAGTACATAGGGTTCTCATGCTTCACAATTTTGCCAACACTTGTCTTTCAATTGTAGTCAACCTAATGGGTGTAAGGTGATATTCACTGTAATGTAAGCATATGTTCATGTGCTTTGAAAATGTCTACTCAAGTCCTTTGTCCATTTTTAAGTTGGATTGAGTCATAGGTGTTCTTTAAATGTTCTGGATATTAATCCCTAATCACATATACAACTTGAAAATATTTTCTTTCTGTAGACAGCATTTTCACTCTATTGTGTCCCTCAATGCAGTTTCTAAGCCTGGCATAGTCTCATCGGCCTACTTTTTTTGCTGCCTGTGTATCTGGTGTCATATTTAATAAATCACTGCCAATTCCAAAGTCATGACTCTTTTCCCATATGGTTTCTTCCAGAAATTTTATATTTTTGTGTGTGTGTTTGGTCTTCCATTTGGTCAGCTAATTTTCACATACGGTATGAAAGTCCTCATAACTTCAGTCCATATGTTGGTATACAAGACAGGTGAAGGCCCTTCAGTACTGTTGCACTAATACATAGATGAAGGTCACAGGCCCAGGAAATATGGCTTTCCCAAAGGTAATACTCCCACCCCAATAACTGCCATCTTTCTCCTTAAAATGTTCCCACCAGCTTAAACCACTGGTGGTATATGCATGACTGTCCCATTGGGCAGCTTATACCACTGGTACAAGCTCTCTTAGCAGTCTTTTTACTAGTACAATTAATAAAAGGCTGCTCAATGGGAGTCATGTTTGTACCACTGGTGGTTCAAGTCAACCAGCAGCAAGACATATGAATTATATCCCCGTCAGTAACATGTCAACCCCCCGCTCAGTTCTTGCCTAACACTGATCCTCGTCCGCTAATCAGTCATAGATGAGTCTAGAGGAAGTATGCCTCCAAGGAAGTGACAACTGAATCCTCTGATGTTTGAAAAACAGCAATGTAGGGAAAGTAGATGGAACCAAAATTCAGAGCTAGGTCCTTTTCCCCTTTGGCTATAAAACTGACCATATCACATACGTAGCCTCCAAGTCCTTCTCCATAGACTTCCAATCCACAGTTCTAAACATAGAAATTTCTGTACTACTCATTGGGAAAAAAAATTTACTTGAACTAATACAGAATATTTCTGGTCTTTTTTATTCCAGTTATATTTTGCTGCAAAAATACTGGTATGTTTCATGAAGATGCTGCCCCTGGCTCCTTATTTTCCTGAAAATCTGCAAAATTCTCAATTCAGAAACCCACTCGTTCCTGAGATTTTAAGGTACATTGTAGCTTATGACACCTTTCTTGATTGTAGTATTACTTTTTGCAAAAGTTATTTTCTTTCTCAATAATACAATAGTCTTTATTTCAACCAGATATTTTGTCTCAAGATTCTTATGAAACTAAAAGGGAGTCTGTAAACTTCTATTAAGCTTGGTGGACATGGATCGTGCGACAACAGCCACTTCCTTGCCGAATCCAAGGTCTTGACAGTGGTTAATCTTTAATTGCTTCAACTCAGCACCTTGTAGATTTATTGATGAGACCATAGTAGTAAGCACCTAGTTCTTGTTTACTGTCCTTCTTACCTGGACTATATAACGTAACTGAAGGAGGACCAATCAAGACTCGTTGCGAGTCTCGACGTCCAATAAATTGCTAACAAGCGGTTTTTGATAACTTCCTTGTTTTTTGTTTAGATTTGCTGTTTTGCTTTTTAAAATTTATACAACCAGCCCCCTACGAAGCTGTCTGTAGCACTTTTTCTAGGTGACTAGCCTGTAGGAACAAATGCGTGCTGGTTTCGTGCAAAGCGATGAGGTAACTGGCATTGGCGTTGTTTACACAGACCCACTGCTCCTCCCACCCCCACCCTCATCCTTTAGGGCTGCACCTTCTGGATCTGCCGGACCACCTCGGCTCACAGCCAGTGTTTAGGGAACTCCTCATCCCCCAGCTGTCCTGTAATCTTGTCCAAGCTTTCGGTGTCGTTTGGTTGCTGGAGAGTTTAAGCGTTCGCGAAACTGCCACTGGGCCGACTTCCCCAGGACCTACACACATACGAAGGATCTCCTGACAAGCACGTGGAGCGCCCACGCTGTCAAAACGCTTACAGAACCTGAAGCCAAGGTGAGCAGGCCGGACGCACGCTGAGGACCGCACCAGTCCCGGAGTTGCCCGAATTCTCGCGAAATTTGTATTCCCGTATGCGACAGACCAGCTAACTGCCCCGTTGCTTGCCGGAACTCATCGCTGAAGTTCGCAATGCTCGAAGGGAGTTGTGCGACAGTGACTCCCGGTGCATCATGGGACTCGTAGTTCATACTGTCGGCGGTCTCAGGGCGCGACGAGAATACTGACAGTGAGCTGCACTGCATGCCGGGATCCGTAGTCCGCGGTCGGGGGCTCGCCGGGAGCGATGGCTGTCCTGTTATTGCGAGTGCGTCATAGGCTCACAGTAACCTGCCCCGTCCCGCCCCCGCGCCTGTGGTCCGTGTGGATCTGGTTGTTTACTCGCGGTCCGAGCGCACGCACGCACGCGCGCGGCGGCACGTCGCCCTCCCCGCCGTGACGTCGGCACACCTCCCGGAAGTTGGCGCGCACCGAGCTGCGGGTGAAGCCGGTTCCTGAGCGGGAACCGCCCGCGGGGGGCGCCGCGCCCAAGCGCCTGCTGTCCTTGTCCCTCGTCTGCCAGTCGCGGCCACGATGGAGGCGCCGCCTGCGGCCCGCGTTCCCGCCGACGGCGCCTCGACGGCAGCCGTGGCCGAGG